AAGGAGAAAAAGAGAACAAGGGAAATAAACAAATTAAAATAAAACATAAAAAAATAACATTTTAGTTCTCAAAGACAAGGGAAAATAAGTAGTGTTAAAAAATGCTAAAAATGAGAAAAAAAATGTAAACCAATATATATAGGTATATATATTCATGAAATATTCAGCACAATAAAAACACCAAAAAAGGATACAACATTTTATGATAAGTAAAAGAATTTTCCTCTTTTGGGCTATATGAGAGATGGAGACCAAGCTCTGGGAGTTGTTAACCCCTTCCTCTTTTTCTATTGCTCTCAAAAGTTGCCAACAGGAATGGTCTAAAACTGAAGCTGGTTGAAATAGCTCTCAGCTTCTTACCAGTGTAAGGGGTGATGGAATGGGAAGGACTGTTGACTGGAGTTTTCTCTCACAGACCAGATTGATGCACTCCTAGAGTCTAGCCTGCTACAGAGTTCCAATTGGGGAGATCTGGTGGCTGCGGCTTGAAGCCTTTGGAACTTGGTTGGATGGTATTTGCTCTGGAGAGATTAGGTCAACACACTCTATGGCCAGGCAGATGCAGATCTCTGCTGGAAGTCTGGATCTCTTGAACTTCCCAAGAACTCTACTTGTGGGGCAGGAGAGCCAACCCTGCACAGGTGTCACACACTCAGCTGCCCACAAATATGGCCTTCCCAGGGTTAGTCCCTGAGTGTGCTCATGCCCTCCTTCAGATTCCCAACCCTCTTCAGGGAGGTCACGTGAGCCACCAGACTGAATGGGACAGTGAGTTGCAATTCTCGCAGTATTTCTGACTTGAAGTCCGCCCCCCCAACCCGACACACACAGTGTTGTGTGTGCCTGTTTCACTCATTGTTCTAGGTACAACCCAGGCCATACTGTGGGTACTCATCTGGACAGTATAGAGATATTTGTTAGGATCTCCGGGACTCTGGAAGCAGGAAGCTGCAGCATGGCCTCCTCAGAATGGTTCCTGTCTCAGCTGTCTGCTTGCCAGTTAGGAAACAGAGAACTCTTTTCAAACTCCTGTTCACTGTGCGGCCAGTGGATCAGTTAAATACATGCTGTTTTTCTGATCTACAGGTTTTTCTGTGCCAAGTGTGTTTTTCTCTGTATCTTTCCTCCTCTCTGTGGTGAGCCAGTGCCACTGCCACAACCAACTTGGTTCCAATGTATTTTTAATTTTTGTTCAATGCACAAGGATTTCTGAGTCTTGAGTAGCCTCTGACTGTCTAATATTGAATTTCAGTGAATTTCCTCTTTTACCTAACTCTCTGAAAAGCAGTACACCTACTATTTGCATCCCAAGTTTCAGAGAAACTGGAAATGCAGACATCCTCTAGTGCACCATCTTGAATCTCACTTCTTTGGCAATTTTTAAATAGGGTTGCTTGTTGTTTTGTTATGGGGAACTTTGTGTTCCTTGTATATTTTGGGGAGTAGCCCTTATCTGATGTATGATTTGCAAATACTTTCTTCCAGTGTATGAGTTTCTTTTCACTTCTTAATTATTTTCTTTTGGGGGCAGAAACACTTTGGTTGAATGCTTTTCTATTGGTATATTTTTCCTTTTGTTGCCTGTGCTTTGAGGATCATATCCAAGAAAGTTCTATCCAGACCAATGTCAGGGACTTTGCTCCTATGTTTTCTTCTGGTAGCTTTGTAGTTTCAGTTGGTGTGTGTGCGTGTGTGTGTGTGTGTGTGTGTGTGTGTGTGTTTTGGTAAGTGTTTTTCCTCTTTTTCTCAGGATGGTCTTGAACTCATGTGCTCATCCTGCCTCAACCTACCACGTAACTAGAACTCAGGCCTGCTCTACCATACCCTGCTTCAGGACTTACATTTAAATCTTTTGTGCACTTTGAGTTTGATTCTCATATAAGGGCTTATATGAAGGTCCATTTCCATTCTTATGTTTGTGAATAGCTTGTTTTTTTCAACAGCTTTTATTGAGATACCAATTTCATATTCTGTACACTTGGCACCTTTGTCAAGAATGCATTCACTCTACATGTATGGGTTTATTTCTGAGTTCCTTTCCATTGGTCGTCATGTTTGTTTTCTTGCCAATACCATTATGCTTTATTTATTGTAGTTTTAAAATCTATTTTGAAATCTGGTTTTATTATATTCCCAGCATTGTCCTTTTTGATCAATACAGTTTTGATTTTGGGGGGGTCTATTTTTGTCACCTTTTTGATTGCTGTGAACAAAAGACCTGACCAGAACAATTTTAGAGGAGGAAAAATTTACTTGGGGACTTGTAGTTTCAGAGGTCACTATCCATAGATGGCTGACTCCATTCCTTGGGGCCCTAAGTAAGGCAGGACATCATGGAAGAGGAGTGAGTTGGAGGAAAGCAGCTCAGGACATTTCACCAGGAAGCTGAGAGAGTGAGCTCCGCCCAACTACACAAAATATGTACCCCAAAGGCATACTGCCAATGACCCACCTTACCTAGCCACAACATACCTTCCTACAGTTACCACTCTGTAGCTCCTACCTGGGATTAATACTAGTTAGGTTAAGACTCTCATAACCAAGTCATTTCACATCTAAACTTTCTTGTATTATCTCGCACATGAATTTTTGGGGGACACCTCATATCTAAACCACAGCAGGGTCTTTTGTGGTTCCACATGAATTCTAGAAATTTTTTCCCATTTCGTTGTTGAATGAAATTAGAAATTTGATAAACCCAACTGGTTTTGTTTTTTCCTTTTCCTTTTTCTTTTTCTGTGGTGCTGAGATTAAACCCATGACCTCAAGCATGCCGGGCAACTGCTCTGCCACTGAGCTCCACTCCCAGCCTGATGACCCTGTTTCTGGTGGAGCCTTCTGTCCTTGGGTCTTCTCTTCATCCCACTGCTCCGAGCCCTCCCCAGCAGGAGTCTTGGTGCTGACAGTCATTGGCTCTGAGCACAGTGCAGGATACCTTGACCTCCCTGCTGTTCTCAGCATCATGCCCTCTTTCTCCCAGTGTGGGCATCACCCTCCTGATGGTCTCTTGCCCACTTCTTTATCCAACCCTTGCCCATTTTATACCTCTACTCTCCACCCTACAGGTGCTGGACTTTATCTCTCCCTGGTCCCTCTGCACCTCTCTGCTGTGGGACCTTTTCCTCACCACCCCTGCCTACCTGCCTGGAGCCCTCACCAACTTCTACCTGTCACAAGCCCCCTCTGGTGGGACCTTTGCAATCTATAGCCACTCTCATCTGCCTTCATCCAGAGCAACACCCCTGTCTTCCCCCTAACCCGGTTCTCCTAGGGTCACCTCTATGCTGTGTTCAACCCCCACCCCTAGTCATTCCTTGACCAGGCTACTAATCTCTCTTGCCCTTCCCTCCTCCCCTTCCCATCCATATTAGAAAAAGGCTCTTGGTCCTCCTGCTCTTTGCCCTTCTCCCTCTTTTGGGGGGTTCCTTTACCTTAGAGGGCTTTGGCTCCCTCAGCCATGTGTCCAAATCTGTGTTTTGGTAATTGGTTGGTCCTGGTGTTCCCCAACTATGGCCTCTCCCATCACCACTTTCGTCCTGTGATATTTTTTATTTGTTTGTTCATTTCTTTGTGTTGGACATTGAACCTGGCCTCAACCATGCACTCCACCTCTGAGTAACACCCCCGGCCCCTATGTTTTCCTAACCTGATGCTCTCTTGGGATGTGACCTGCTCCACTCCAGCCCTTCCACTGTGAAGGGCCTCCCCCAGGTTGTGCAAGTTGTCCCTCTTCCTTTATACACTTTGTATAGTAACCTCAAGATCATCCATAGTGTAACAACTAACAGAATGCCCTTCCTTTTTAATTCAGAATAATATTCCTTTGGCATATAAGCCACATTTTGATGAGGTGTTCCTCAGCTGATGGGTACTTGGGTTACTTATATCTTTTGGCTTTTTGGAACAATGCTGTTATTAATGTGGGTGTGCACATCTCTGCATTTACCTGCCTTCACTACTGTTGTGTTTATGGCCAGAAATACAGTAACTGGATTATACAGAAAGTATCTTTTGAGCATTTGGAGGGACCCCCTTACTATTTTCATAGCAGCTGCACCATTGTATGCATAGGTAAGCAATTCACCTGTGCTGCAATTTTCTATGTATTTGTGAAATTGTTCATTCCACATTCTTTTTTTCTAAATGGTAGCCATCCTCATGTGTACAACATGGAGTCTTATTGTACTTTTATTTTCATTTCCCTAATGACTGATGATGTTGAGTATCTGTTCATGTGCTTCTTAGGTATTTGTATATCTACCAGGGAACTGGCTGTAGAGATATTTTGCCCAATTCTGAATAGATTCAACTTTTATATTATTTTTGAGTTGTCAAGATCCTTTTCTGTTTGCTTGTTTTGGGAACTGGGATCAATCCCAGGCTCTTGCACATACTAGGCAAGTGCTCTACAGCTGAGGATTTCTACCCCAGCTCAAGTATTGCAAATATTTTTACCCCATTCTGCAGGTCACCATTTCTGTGGGTATGCTTTGGTGTTTAGATGTTTTTATGTTAATTATTTTGATGGGTCAAATTTATCAATTGTTATCTATAGTGTCTGACAAGTGCTTGTGGTGTCATATCATTGAAAATTAGTCAATTCTTTTTTCTGAAGATTATTGCCAATACATTTTCTAACAAATATGTTTATCTAATATATACATACATGTATGCATATGTATATACATATATACATATATATATTATTAGTAATATGAATTGAACCTATAATCTCTCACATGCTAATAAGAAATCTAACACTGAGCTACATGACAGGCATTTTAAAAATTTTATTGTGAGATAGGGTCTCTGACTAAGTTTCCCAAGTTGACCTTGAACTTGCATTCATCTGCTTCAGTTTCCTGAGTAGCTGGGATTACAGGCATATATCACTATATGTAGCTGCCAATGTGTTTTCTTCTAAGTTTTATAGTTTGCATTTTGAGTTTATGTGTGTGTGTGTGTGTGTGTGTGTGTATGTGTGTGTATACAATCTGCATATTGAACCCAGGCACTTGGACAAGCTAGGCAAGCACTCTCTCATTGAGAGTTAATTTCTATTCCAGAGTTAATTTCTATCTGTGAATAAGTAAAGGGTCCAACTTCATTGTTTGTGAGTGGAAATCCAATTTTTCCAGCATTATCTATTGAAAAGATACATCAGATCTTTGAAAACACTGCCATCTGCCTTTTCTCAGGAGATGCTAATAGGACCATTTACCTCCCCTACCTAGGGCCTCCAGATGTTTGATCTTTTGAGTTGGACCCACCTACTGCTTTACATCCCTTTATGGTACAACCCTGCTCAATACTTTTGGGGCCACAACCCTCCCTTACACTGCCCCAACCTGCCTGTCCCACCTTATCCATGAGAAGTCTGCAGAGAGGCAGCACCCCTATTTCAGCCCCCTGCCCCCCTGCCCTATCCCCTGCACATGTGTGACCATGGGTCCACCCTCCCTCCACCCTTCCTGGGCCTTCCCTGCTGTGCACATCTGGACCTCCTGTTCCTCCTGCCCCTGCAGGCCAGCCTCTCCTCTTGAACTCTCTCCTATACACTTAGGCAACCTGTTCCCCTGTCTTGGGCCCTGGCTTATATGCCTGCCCCTCTCTCCATTTCCCCTTTCTCCATCCCTCACTTCCCCTCTCCTTCATCTTTACTTTCCTATCTGCATTGTATTGGGAACCTTTCTTCTGTCCCTTTGTCTGTGTGTGTTTGCTGCCTCCTCAGGTGCTCAGGACAGCAGAGCCTTTGTGGTGAGCATTGATGAGAAGTTGTTTCCAGGAAGAGGTGTCATCTGTTGCTTCCTCTTCCACAGGGAACCACAGTCTTCACTATAACCTCACAGTGAGGTCCCAAGGTGGATTAGTGCAATCAAGGTCCTTTGCTGATGGTTATTGGGACCATCAGCTCTTCCTTCACTATGATAGTGACTCTAAAGAAAGCCCCAAACCCCAAGGGCCATGGGCAGAAAAACCCTTGGGAAATGAGAGGTGGAACATAGAGATCCAGGAGTTGAAAGAGCACATCAAGAAAGCAAAAGCAACCCTGGCAGATATCAATGCCCAGCAGGAGCAGAGAGGAGGTGAGTGTGGGTGGGAGCAAGGGTGACATGAGCTTACTCCAGGAAGGCTGGGGGCAAAGAGCAGGGACCTGTCTGTTCTCACTGCAATTGACAGTGAGGAGACACTGAGGAGAGCCAGGTTGAGGTCCTCTGTGGGCTGGAATTTTTCACTTGGAGGGCAGGGAGGCAGAGGGGCCAGGGGATGGAGAAGTGACTGTTGCGTGGGGGCAGGGTCTCATTCCCTTCAGGAGATTTGGGGCTGCAAGGTTGAAGAGGACAACTGCACCAGGAGCTTCTGGATGATCTACTATGATGGGGAGCCCTTCCTCTCCTATCACCCAGAGACACGCAGCTTGAGAGTGGAGCCATCCTCAGCTCAGACCTTGGCTATGGAAGTCAAGAATTCCTGGGATGAAGATGGCATTCAAAGCAAGGACATCTGGGCCCAAGTGCAGGGAGAGCTTTGTGGAAAACTTCGGACTTATCAAGTCTCCTGGAAGGGCTCCTCCCTCTCCCCTGGAGCCTCTGCCCAGGAGACCTTGTGTGAGTTTGTGTTGTGATTTGCCTGTCCTGTCACACCACTAGATAGAGTCAGGAGGGTGTATGTGCCAGACACTAGTGAGCCCCCACCTGCCTGCCTGCCTGCTATCATAGAGCTCCCACTTGTCCCCACAACCCTGAGTCCCCCAAAATACCCCTGATGACCTCACATACCAGAGTCCCTGTAACAACCTCTCCTCAACATGAACATGTGGAGTGAGAATGTGAGGCCAGAAGCCCATCCTTCTGTCAGATGACTCAGGCTCCAGGCTGAGAACAGACTTGTAGAAGGTCTGGGGTCAATGAGGTCTTAGGCCAGAGTCAGAGATTGGAGAAGACCAGCCCTATTCCCTCCCTGAGAGGGACATGAGGTTTGGTCCCATGTCTGAGTAGCTCTGCCCTTTCTTCTCCAGTGTCACCAACAGTGAATATGACCTGTGGTGAAACCTCTGAGGACACCATCAACGTGACATGTTGGGCTTGTGGCTTCTATCCCCAGAATATCTCTGTGACCTGGCTTCAAGATGGGGAACTCCTGAGTCAGGACACCCAGGACTTTTTGGATGTTTTTCCCTATGGGAATGGGACCTACCAGACCTGGCTGTCCACCAGGATTCCCCAAGGACAGGAGCAGAGGTTCAGCTGCCATGTGGTACACATTGGAAAGAACACCACTGTCCCTGTGTCCTGTGGTAAGCTTGGGGGTCCCTGTAGGGGTTCCCAACCACGTTGGTCAGTGACCAGGGTGGTGAGAAGGGAGAAGCCTTGAAGTTCTGGTACCTAGAGTGTAACAATCCTGTTTTCAGGTGTTGGACTTTGGAAGGGATGGCCCATCTTCCTATCTGTTGCTGTTCTTCTGATTATGACAGTTATGATTCCTGTTTGTGTCTATTGCTGCAAGAAGAGCAAGACGCCATCAGCTGCAGAGGCTTCAGGTGAGAAAAGTGGTCATTGGCTGTAGATGTGAAGGCCTGCCTGGGATGTAGGGCCCCTCATGCCTTCTGCTGCACAGAGAGCCGTGGAGGTGACCAGGAACAGGGGTTGGAAGGCTGTGTATTTGTGGGGGTTGGGAGCCATGTCTCCAGTTAGAATCTTCAGTCCTGCCAAAAGCCAGGCAGTAACATCCTTGAATGTCCTGCTGTGGCCTCTTCTGGCTGTAGCTGTGGCTCCTGATCTGTCCATGTCTCTTTCTCTCACACTTTGCTGGCTTGACCAGGGTTTGGGCTGGGAATGGTGGCTGGTGTGGACTAGATTATCATGGCCTGAAGGGGACACAGAGTCAATGAGTTGTGATCTTTGGATTCTTAGAAACTGAAGAGGAATTCTACAGAGGTAATGCCTCTGGTCCCTTCCTGTCTGCCTTGCTCTCCCCCAGTCTCTCCAGCTGACATAATCAAAGACCCACAGGGCCAGCACTCCACCAGTGCAGTCCCTGGAGGCCGTATAGAGCAGGCCATGGCTCTGCATCCCAGGCCACCACCTCTGCCCTGTGGGTAGTTTCTCTAGTCCTTCCTCAGAAGCTGTCTCCTGAGTGTGTCTTCAGGGTCACTGAGCCTCCCAGTCTCTACCCTATCCCCACCACACAGGTCTTCCTCCTAGAGTGGCCTTGCAGATGACATGGACAGTAGAATAGCTGATGTCCTTGACCATCTGGGGAGAGAGACCAGCCCATTCTGGGGCAGTTATAGTTACAGTTTTTTCCTATATCTACCATTTTCCAGTGCAGCCCCTAGGAGTGTTGGTTACCACAGATAGGGCAGACTGCGCCAGAGCAGAGGCCCATGCAGGTGACTCCTCTAGTAGGGTAGGCAGCTATGTGCCATCTGCTGCTCCCACCTGTGGCCTCTCTGACAGGTGCAGCAGGGGAATGTTAGTTCTACTTTCCTCTGGTCAGAAATGGGGAATGTCACTAGGGCAGTACCTGGGAAGAGTGGGAAAGGCCTATTGCTTATTTCTGCAAATTCCTCCTTTAAATGTTGAATCTCAGTAAGGACGTTCCCAGTTTCAGCTGTATGGTGTGAAAGGCAGTTCTCCAGTGCCCATGTGATAATGTGCACTAAATGTCACCCTTGGAGATCCCTCTACAGGAGTGCCCCCTGTGGGAGACCCGGATTGTGGCCATGGCCATTTAAGGATGCAGAGGGTGGGCTGGCAGTCCATACTGCAGGATCTCAGGAAGGCCTTTAATCTGCTTTGGGGAGAAGACCCCTATGGGCTGGGAGAGTTGTGGCCTGCAGGATTTCATGCCAGGAATGGACATAGGGAGTTCAGGGCAGCCTTAGGAAAAAGGAGCCCACGGGGAAGAGCTGGGTTCTCAGGGGTGGGTAGACCGTGCAGGTAGGAGGAAGCAAAAGTGCAGATTGAGAGCCTGGGCAGGTGCAGAGGGTCAGTGATTCTGAGTCTCCTCTGTTTGGGCTGTTGTAGGCAGGGGAGCAGCAGATCATGTGGCAGGCATGCTTTTCCAGGCTGTGCCTGCTGGTGCCCCTGTGCTTCCTGGTGGACTGTCCAGTTAAGAGCTGCTGGCTCACAGCTGGGAGGGAGGGATGCTGAGCTGCAAGTGGGGAAGCCCTGTTGGGTGACCACCTGCCTGTACATGGGAGGAGGTTTGGGAACTAAGGGGAAGAAGGGCTCTGTGTGAGTGAGCCCCTGTCCAGCCTGGCAGAACCAGGAGCTGCCCTCTCTGGGAGGCTCCTACTGTCTGTGGAGGAGGGGGCACTGGGTCTCACTTCCAGATCTAGAATCTGAATCCTGAAGCCCTTTCACTCTCTTCCATGGTGGAAACAAAGACTGGTGATGTTGCTGATAGACACACAGAGGAGCCTGATAAGGCAGGAAAATGGGATGAGAGAGAAAAAAAGTCAGGATATTTACTTCCCTCGGAGAATGGCCAAGTCTGGTTTTTGAGGAACTGAGGAGAGAGAGGTGTAAGGGAATAAAGAGCAATGTTCTGCCACCAATTGAACACTGACTGGTTCTCCTTCTTCCCCAGAGCAAATGAGTCTACAAGACCTGGATGGGCTGCAAAGACCACCAAGTGACCACACTGGATCCACACAGCCGGGGTGTCAGCCTCTGCTGAGAGCTCCTAAGGCATCTCAGGGAGCTTAGCCTGTGCAGCCCTGCTCTGAGCAGCACTTTCCTTCCTTCTCAATGATGTGGAAACACGTTGATTGACTTGGGACTGGGGAATGTATATAAGGTCTTTTCTTCTTAGTGGAATATAGATAGGTGGTCCATAAATGGATTTGCCTTCCCTAACAGCACTCTGTACCATGCTGAAGCAGTTAAACTTGGTAAGCTGGTGGAAGGGCCTTTTGACTAAGTCATTATAGTGCCAAATAGGTGGTAATAACTTACAGGACTGGGGCAAGTTTGTCACCCAGTAGGTGAAGAACCGTGACCAGCTGAGGTGTTTACTCAAAGCAAAGAGAACACAGAGCAGGGAATAGAGTAAACCAACTCTAATTTGTGACTGACATGAAAACAAGAGTTATCATAGTTTTATGATTAATAAATTTATTATTACCATGATATATTGCAAAATATTATTTTCCAAAGACTTTGCCATTATCACAATAAAAATAAAACCCCTCTGATTCCTGTGAATTTATCTCTGGGTATCCAAGTCCAGTAATGATCTCACTATCTGAGCACTGAGAGTGCTTCACTTGTTGCTATGCCTCTGTATTGGTGTACTAATGTCATAAAATCTTGTTTGATTTCCTTGAAATATCTGGATTAAAAATGCCACTATTAGGCTAGTGATAGATCTCAGTAGTAGAGAACTTGCCTAGCACATGTGAGGCCTGTGTTTGATTCCCAGCTTTGCCTCAAGAAACCCTAAGTTCCACTATTTAACTTACCTGTATTCATCTAACATATACAATGATGAGAGCCAGAATCTGTGGCATTTTGCAGATGCTGCATGAGCATGCTGGCTTCAAGTTCTGAGTAATTTTCCAGTGTTCTTTATAACATCTGGGGCATTGGTGCCAATGTTTCAAAACCTTTAAGCACAGCTGCTCTGTAGCCTGGCAGAGATGAGGTGAGCTGGGAGGAAGTCCCACAGGGCATCTTGAACTTTCCTTTCTCAGAAATTGCTCAGCAAGAATTTGAAGATAGCAAGGACACAAAAATTCTACTACAGCCTCCAAGGAAGACCTTTTCCTCTTTTATAGCCTAATGTGAACAGCATGCACATATCCTGAGCTCTCTTGTGTGGTTTACATTGTACAGTGACTAAGACAGTGAGCCCTGCTGTGATCAGATTACTTCCTTCCTTTTTAGCAAGTGTGTTATTCTGCTGTTCTAACTCCAAGATGCAAGGGTCTCTCCAGAATGTCAGAGACACCTACTGCCCACACAGTGTTCATGCCCCTGTGTAACATAGGCCACCTCTGTGGCTCCTGCACTCTTAGCACAAGCCCTCTTCACACTGCCACTCAACTATTCCAATTTCCAACCACTTACTGTGCATGTGTTTTTCAATTTAATATTCAGATCTATTCCCTTTACTCTCATGTTTGCTAATCAGGATCATAGTCACATGTTAAATATGCAATTTTCAAGTCATCATTTATTGATATACATTTTAATCATGGCATATAGAGATGCTATGGAACTTTTTGTTTTTATTATATCTAAGTTATACTTGCTTAAATGGCCATTATTGGTGCTTATGGTTTTCTTCCTTGATAAGTGATGGTAAGATATAAAACTGTACTCTGTACTTTGGTTTCCAGCTGCCAATTAATTTGGACCATCCCTCCCATGGAATACAACTGAAAAACTGAGGGCAAGAGCACCTACTTGAAAAATATGGCTGAAGGGGTAGATGAGCTAAGAAAGCACTGAAAGTTTACTAGGCCTGGAACCAGAAGGCAGAAATCTAGAATAAGAAGTTAAGTGCACTGAGCTTTTGTGCTGGTGGTGTCTTCTGGCTGGGCCAGTGCCTGGGAGCCTCTCAGGGCTGGAGGGCAAAGGCTACAGTTAAAGGGTGCAAAAGGGACATAGGGGGCAACAGCGATCCCTTGTGTTGGGATGGGCCCAAAAGGCTATCCCTTAAGATTCTATCAGCCAATTCTTCTATGGATTACAGTTGTATTTTAACATATGTGATCCAGAGAATCTGAATAGCAAAAAGTACATTAAGGTGTTATTTCCCACCACTCTTATTTTAATTTTTTTTCTTTTAATTGTTTTAAGTTATCAAGATCTTTATTTTTATCTGTCTATCTATCTCTCTACTTATTTATATGTGGTGCTGAGAATCAAACCTAGGGCCTTATACGTGCTGGGCAAGCACTCCACCACTAAGCCACAACCGCAGCCCCCAGCACTCTTGTTAAGCATTATAATTGAGAACCTCCTCAATGTTTTCAAGGGAGAAAATAAATAATATAGAAGGGTTTGAACAGAGATATTGAACTCTCATAATTTGCAAATAATAATATGTTGAATTCATAAAGTCCCAAATTATTATAAATTCTTGGAATTAATAACATAGTTTCCTATGGTTGCTAGATTAAT